ATTTGCAACATAGTACATAGTTGCTTAGAGTTGCAACTCAGAGGCCGGCAAGTCAGGCGGGGAACGTTGGAGTCTGCAGTCACTGGAGCAAGCAAGCCTCATGTTCGCTTCCAGCTGCCTGGCTGCCGGCCGCCATCTTGGCTGACAGTTAATTTGCATAAGGATATGCTGATTAGCCAATGGGAAGGGTAGCGGTCGTACGCTAATTACCATGTTTCTCTTTTATTAGTGTAGATATATATATTACTCAGCCATAAGAAAATATGAAATACTGCCATTTGCAACAATAGGGATGGACCTTGAGAATACTGTGCTAAACAAAATAAATCAGTCAGAAAAAGCTAAGAACCATATGATTTCACTCATGTGAGATATAAAACTGAAACTCATAGACACAGCCAACAGTATTACCAGAGAGAAAGGGGGCAGGGCATAGTAAAGGGTAAAGGTAGCCAAATATATGATGACAGAAGATGATTTGACTGTGGGTAGTTGGCACACAATGCCATATACCAGTCATGTATTATAGAAATGTACACTTGAAGTCATTTTATCTTATTAACCAATGTCACTCTAATAAATTTAATTTTAAAAAATAAAATAAAATAATTTAAAAAGAAAAAAAGTCTTCTGGTCTACCAAGAAGATGAGTGAAGGTTTCCAGTAGCATTGAAGGTATTATTAACTCTTTGTCAGTGCTCCAGTGCTGGCACGCTGGGGTGTTGACAAGTGTTTGGAGCCTCCACTGTGTAGTGTTCAGCCTACTCGGAGAGTTTGGGCCATTCAAAAAGTAATTAGCAGCATCAGCTCCTGGCAGGCATTCATGCCAAAATCCCTTCCAACTAAACGTGGTGGAAAGCTCCAGCTCTTGGAGGCTGAGGGCTCTGGCGGAAAAGCAAAAAGAAGAACGTCCTGGCTGTGTAGACGGAAGCATGACACATAGGCCTAGTGAGCATCCTAATAAAATATGTGCATATGAGCCCTGGCCGGTTTGGCTCAGTGGATAGAGCATCGGCCTGTGGACTGAAGGGTCCCAGGTTCGATTCCGGTCAAGGGCATGTACTGTGGTTGCGGGCACATCCCCAGTGGGGGGTGTGCAGGAGGCGGCAGATCGATGTTTCTCTCTCACTGATGTTTCTAACTCTCTATCCCTCTCCCTTCCTCTCTGTAAAAAATCAATAAAATATATTTTTTTAAAAATATGTGCATATGAGGCAGCAGATAAGTGATACTAACTGTGCAGTGAACAGGTCAACGTCCATGCCCAAGCCCACTGCATACGATTCTATGTCCTACCCTTTCTCCACCTCATCCAGTTGGAGTTTTTTTAGGATGTGTTCAGGGAAGCACTTTGAATGTTGTGAAACTATACTCTCAGGCAAGGGTAATTATGAATTTTTCCCAAACTATTCCACCAAGCACTATACTAGGGGCAAAAGAGGGAGAGAGGTGGAGGTCAAACAAGTATGGAAAAAAACTCATTCACATTTACATGTTGACATTTCTGAGAAACCCAGCAGTAATAAGTAAATGGATAATCAATCAATTGAAAGAGGACTTTTTCAAATGCTTAAAAATACAGAACGCTCTTCCTTTTAAGTTCTCAGTTATTGATATTTAACTGAAATAGAACATACATGAGAAAGTATTAAATTCTTTATTTTTGTCACTATTTTTATATCTAATTGCAAATTACCTAAAGGATGCTTAAGGTAAATTAAATACATTTGAGACTCTTAAATACACACAGTGTGCCCAACCCTGTGTTGGAACAGAGAGGGAAATGGCAGAGCAGAGAAGGGAGCAGGAGCTATATGGTGAGACAGGAAGAAATTGAAAACTGGCTTGGAAGGGTGGTTCACCTGTATTAGAACCAAGGGGAGTCTGAGTGTGTGGCTACTGTCAGGAGGACTTTATTACCCACGCCCTTTCCCGCTCCCCCCCCACCCTCACCTCACTGTCTGAAGCTCTTAGCATCTTCTCCTGAGCCTTCCTAAACAGGATCTCAAATTCACTGCAAGTGATCCCACTACAATAGGAGAATCTGGGGAAGACAAGAGGGTGTGAAGTCCTCACATACAGGGTTAGACAGAGACAGAAGACCCTTCCCAGGGGGCTCGGAGCGCCCCTCTCTCTCATGAGTGCTCATGAGCAAGGGGGGCAATATATTGGCTGGAAGAATTTGATCTTGCATTTTCCAAGACTAACTGGAGAGCAGGTTTTCTTTCATTATAATTTATCACTTATAAGATACCAGAGCCACACAGAGATAGCTGAATAATAGATGAAATTATGCTGAACCAAGTTTCTGCCCTAAGGAGTTTTCCATGTAGAGGCAGACATGGGATCATGTTGGACAAGCATAGCGCTGTCTCATCAAACAAGGTGGGTGGGGTTCCCGGTGAGAGTGTGTGTATGGCAGAGAGAGATGGAGAGAGATTGGAGGTTCATTTAATGTTGATGAGAAAATGGCAAACAGAGAGCGTGCTCTGTTGATTGGTCAGACATTAAAGGTAAGAAGGGAGCAGTGCCAACCTGCCAGGGCCTGAAATGATCCCAGAAGGCTCCAGGAAAGAACCCTGCACCAAACACAACCCCACTGCCTGGGAGCCCTGAGTACCTGTGTGCCATGTATTCACCAATAAATGCACTTTAGCTGCTTAGCAAGAACAGAACACTGATGGGGGAATGAAGAGGCACTTTTAGGAGGGAAGAAAGAAGAACGCCATTGTTGCCAGTTCCCTGTGTGTCTAATAGCAGCTTTGGACACATGATCACAAAGCTGGACGTTTGCGGTCACATATGCACACAGTTTGTCTCTGGGAGTCAGGAAAATGCCTCTATCCCAACCCAGGCAGGAGGTTGGGGAATTGTCTAAAACAAGGTTGGGGGATAAGCAAGAGGATGAGGATTCAGGTGGGAAAGCTTTCAACTCAAGGGCAGCTGGTCAACCAATGTGGCTAGAAGAGCTGGGGGCCACTGGGATTTGAAGCCAAGGAAGGAAGAGTCTAGAGAGAACCAAATACCCTGGCTGCTGGTGCGATTTGGATCTTTAATGACACGTTTCATTGGCCCTGTTGCCCTTATTTGATGTGGATGGCTGGACTGATGGTCACTAGGTTCTGGTGAGGCAACACCAGTCATCTACCATCCCTGCTCTGAAGTGTTTCAGAACTCAGCAGAATTTCAAATTTGAAAGAAAGGAAAACAGTGTCGAACTTATAGAACCATATTAATAATTTGTGCTTTAGAACCTACAAATATTCAGACTACGTGGAACAAATGATAAAGAGAAATAGCCTTGCATCATTGCCGCTCCAGTTTGACAACCAGAAGAGTTACATAAGACACAGACGAGTGTGACATTACCTGCCAAAAGAATTTAGTTCGAGGCTGATAACTTTTCAGGTGCTTACTGTACTAATAAGCTCTTTCCTCCCGAAGTGATATTATCTCTTCCGCTAAACCTTCAGGGCTCCCTGGTCCCTGGGAAGGAGCCCACCCACACTGACCAGAGGGCTGACCATGACGGGAAAAGCCACCCATAACCTCAGCCTCCCATGTGTCCTCCACAAAGCTCAGGGCAGAGTACTCACCAGCCCAGACCTACAAAGGGTCCCATCATCTCAGGGGTCCTGGACAATGGCACATAGAACAAACACCTGGACCACCCTGGGCCTGGAGAGGTCTGGGCATCATTAGTCTATCCGCAGTTCTCAGACCCCACCGCAGATTAACTGAGTCAGAACTGGAGGCGGGGGTCAGACAGGAGTCTGTGCTTTATCACAAGCCCTCTGAAGCTAATCGGGACAAAGCAAATAGGTCTCACATGGTTCCCACATGGGCTCCATCAAGCAGCCTGGGGTTGGCTCCCCTCTGAACAGAGCACTGCCCACTGGTCCACGTTGATCTTGTCACCTGCTGAATGCTCCAAACCCTTGATCCTCAAACTTTCATCAAACCAGATCACCCACATGCAGTATCTGCAATTGAATTTGAGCCCAAATACAGACATTTATGTTCACTCAGTTACTTCTGTCTTTTTTGCTCTTGGCCTTTTATTCCCCAACTGTCACATTCGCATTCTTGTTTCTTCGGGCATCCCTTGCACTGTTTGCCTCTTCTATCATGGTCTCAGGTGTGGAAGATCTTTTTTACCTTCATCCAGTGAGATTTTTACTGCAAAGCCCTTTTGGGAAATGCCAAACCGTTGACCAACAGCCTGCGTTTGGTCAATCCTGAAACACTACGATTCACCTTATGTCCCTCCATCTCACCGAGTCAGACTTTTTAGGACAGCCCACACCTGTGGAAACATTGATTGACCTGTCAGATTTCTGGTATGGATTTCTGACTCCCCAAAAAGACCACAAAAAAGACTTGGTGATCAAAGGAAGTTGAGTTTATCTGACCTACTGCCAAATAGAAGACATGGTGTCTGGAGGGTCTTGAAATGGGAAAATTCGAGTGTTTTAGGACTTAAGGACCTGGACTGCCCGACTGTAAGTAAGGTCCTACAAAGCTGCCAAGCAGACAGGATCGGGCAGAGTGTATGACCGAAGAGATTAGGCATGGTTGGCACACCAGGCAGGAGCCTTGATGAGCCAGTGCCACCTTCATAAGTAGCTACTGTCCTTGGCTCAGTTTTTCATTCAGAAGCAAAGATTTCCTGGAGCTAGCTTAATTTTTCCTTGTCCTAATAGTGTGTAGCACACACATACAAAAAAAGATATGCTTGATTTCAAATTCTTCAGCTGAGGGACAAGAAAGATATTGGTACCAGTTTTCATGTGTTTGCCCTGAGCCCATGCTCCTCTGCATTGCTCTGTGAGGACCCAGGATCAGGTAGAGCAAAAGCAATCAGCAGGTGCACCAAACCTGTAACCACGTTCACATAGAGCCACCTTCACTTTTTCTTCTGGCTGAAACCTAACTATGTAAAGATCATCAGCCCGGTGGACCCAGTGATTTCCAAAATTTTTTTTTTCAGGGTAAGCAAGAAAGTCATATATTTAAAACAAATAAAACTGAGCTCTTCTGTTCTCTGGGTGAGGGGTGAAGCTCCAGCACTTCATTCTCCTGCCACAAGGCTCCCTGAGGGTCCAAGGAACTCAGCAAATCCTCACCCGCCTTCATGCCAGAAACCATTAATTTTTTTTTTTTTTTTAGGTCAAAACCATTGCTTAGTCCCTAGCTGGTTTGGCTTGCTGGCTCAATCCCCAGTAGGGGGCGTGCAGGAGGCAGCCAATCAATGATTCTCTCTCATCATTGATGTTTCTATCTCTCCACCCCCCCTTCCTCTGAAATCAATAAAAATATATTTAAAAAAAAAAAACATTGCTTAGGGGAATACCAACTTTACAGACAAATTATGTGCAAGCAAGAAAGCAGGTGAGAACCCTTTCTTGTTAGGGGAAATGAGTATACAAATAGTTACAATAATTTCAACCAGAATTTAAAACAAAATCTTTTGAGTGCCACGGACAGAAAATTTGCAATCCCCAAGTGTAATTGAGTGTACTTTATAGAGTTCATTTTGTTTTAGAAATTAATTCTTCCACAAAGGAGATACGCTGGTTAATTTAAGTTATAATTAAAAATACGCCAGCTTATGTATTGATTTCATTACATTGTATTTCATTTCTGTTTATTGTTTCCCATTTTAACGAGTTAATAAAGGAGCCGTTTTATGAATTCCTTTATACAACTTACAAACCCAAACTACTTTTTTAATAGAAATCACATCGAGGCAATCCGTTTTTTCCTTCCACTCTAATAATAATGATGTTGTTTAATGGACATTAAATAATCGAGAAGTCTGGAATCCGTTATTTGTTTAGGAGGGAGTCTGTTTTCCTGGTTTGTCCAGGCAAAGTCGATTCCAGATTTTACTTGAAAGACTAAGGTCCCCAGGAAGTTCCCAGTCACCACCTGACAGAGGAGGTGAGTGACTTAATTCCCAGGGAGCAGGGCATCAGGACAATGCCCCATTTGAAACATACTTTTAAATACGGACTTGTATTGATCCTCACATGTAAAAGGCCTCAGTGCTTTTGGAAGCAAAGTGAGTTCAAGTGCATCAGAGAACAGGCGTTGGGCGAACCTTCCTGACTGTCCCGCCAACTTGTCTGAGTTCCTGAAGCCCCAGACTCCATGGCTGTCCAGCCACGTGGCCGAGCTCATTTCCTGTGCCCCAGCAACACCTGAGTCCCCTCACCCTGGGGGTCTTGGCTGTCTCCTCTTTCTTGTGGTCAGTGCAGAAATGGAGACTCACAGCCTGGGGGGCAGGAGAGCTGGCTCTTTAAGACTCCATTCTTGATCATTTATTTCCTTATGCCAGCATATTCTCATCTAAAACACGCTGCCCTGGACCATCATAAAGACGAATAATAGATGGCATTGGAAAGCCCTCTGTGACACGCAAAGCTCTGTACATGCTTCAGACATGTCTCTTCTTCTATGCATACATATATACTCAGATTATATAGCCCTCTGTGACACGCAAAGCTCTGTACATGCTTCAGATCATGTCCGCGTTGTTAGAAGCCCTGTCAGGTACTGAATCTATCAGCCTTGTAACACAGTGACCCCTGGCACCATCTCACAGTGCAGCGTTTTTCACTCCCCTCCTGGGAGGCTAACTTTTTGGAGCATTTAATGCTGAAATGTGACCTCTCTGGAAGTAGGCTTGGTCAGTGGTGACCTAAGGCATGAAGCCACCATTGTGTAATTCTAACGAATCGCCTATCTTTTTATTAAAATGTAACCAGCAATTATTTCATGATGACAGACGGGATCCGGCAGCAGCCAAGAGAAAGAGTGATATGATTCAGAGAGGCACAGAGTGGTGTCTACGGGCAACAGAGAAGTAACAGGTCCGGTCCGTACACTGGGGCATGCTTTCAAAGGGGCCACAGCCAATCATTCACAATCCTAACAAGTTCAGCAGAGCTGGGAAAGTATTACAGTTTGCACATCTGACCAGAGCCATGGTAATGATGAGGATACTGTCCCACGTGCCGAGGGGTCAGGGGCTGGGCCGTGGGGTCCAGCTGAGCTTCAATGCAGGCCTGACAGTCCATTTAGTAATTGCTACCGTCTGTGTTCTCAGGTGAAGATGAAAACTGCATCAGGGAGAAAAAAATGCATGTTCTAAATTCAATGACCTTTTGTGGTTCCTGGGGACTGGATGTGGTTACATGTTCTGAGGTTGCTGGTTCCCCTCAAAGAGCCACCGTATCCGGGAGCAAGGGGGTCAGGACAACCAGGGTGGGGAGGCCGGTTTGCGTCCTGCTGCACAATACGTGGTGGGACCAACACTGTGCACCTCAATATAACAGAGACAGATAGATGTAAATCATCTAGCCAAACAAATATAAAGACACCTATATGCACTACATGTGTACAGGGGTGCGCAAAAGTAGGTTTACCATGCCATTGTAACATTCTTTTGAGTCAATAAAGCTATTGTAATAATTATAACCTGCATGTCTTTTTCCATATGAACAACTGTAAAGCTACTTTTGCCCACCCCTATATGTCTCTTCTTCTATACATACATATATACTCAGATTATATGTGTGTATGTATGTCTCTATGTATATCCATATCTACACAGATGTAGAAATACATACATATGTATATGTACCTATAGATACGCACACTCTCACTTAATGCTCTAAAAGATAACTCTGCAGCACTATTAAACTCCAAGAAACAACCCCATGTGTGGCAGGTGCTGTTGCTCCGTTGTTACAGAGTTGCGCTGAGGCTGTAACCCATGTGCAGTCACAGCGGGTAAGTGGAGCCAGACTAGAAACCCACCAGGTGTACTCGGGGCGAAGGCAACATGGGCACCACACTCCCTATCCTCGGGAGATGGTAGCTATCCCTCTAGGAGTGAAGGTAGAAGCCTGGAAATATGGCTTTAAGGCAGTGGTTCTCAACCTTCCTAATGCTGCAACCCTTTAATACAGTTCCTCATGTTGTGGTGACTCCCAACCATAAAATTATTTTCGTTGCTACTTCATAACTGTAATTTTGCTACTGTTATGAATCGTAATGTAAATATCTGATATGCAGGATGTATTTTCATTGTTACAAATTGAACATAATTAAAGCATAATGATTAATCACAAAAACAATATGTAATTATATATGTGTTTTCCGATGGTCTTAGGCGACCCCGGTGAAAGGGTCATTCGACCCCCTTAGGGATTGCAACCCATAGGTTGGCGACCCACAGGTTGAGAACTGCTGCTTTACGGGCTATGTCTGTACCTTCCTCTCCATTTGGCTGTGAACTTAAAATTCCTCTACAAAAAATAAAAAATATTTTTTTAAGTTTTAAGACAAATTTCCTCATCTCAAAAATGATGACCCATGAAGAGATAACAATACCAGACCAAGATATATCTGCTATTTTGGAAATATGACATACAGCTTAGACAATTAGAGCACATTGCTCCATAGCAGATGATTTGCTTGTAGGTCTCATCTTCCAGATTGTAAATCCTTTGAGAT